GATTTTACAACACTGCTGAAAGAAAGAATGCTCAGTATCACTCTTACTTTTGAACATTTTTTTCCTGAAATTAGGATTTTGGAATTTGTATTTGTGGAATAGAGAAAACCTGATGGGGTTGGTGGCCATCTTCTGAGGGATCATGGCTGTGTTCTCCTCCTAGAAGGAGTGGGCCCTGCACTCTGGTATATGTGGAAAATCCCACATCATTATAAATGCAAGGGGAAAGCACTGAAAAGAGAGGAAGAGCCTAAAGGCAAGACAGAGGAAGACCATGGAGGCCAGAATCCAAGAGAATAGTTTGTGAAATAGGAAGAAAAGGTCTAAAGGGGAAGGGGAACTAGGAGGGGGAGGGGAAAGGAAAAACTATGATAAAAGGCAAAAATGGAAACAAAGTTTTTGTAAATAGGGAGGGTTGGAGGGATTGAAGGAAGGGCAGGGGAATGGGGAAAAAATAAGAACCAAGATATATCATGTAACGGTACAAATCCCCAATGATGAATGTCATCGTGTTGTATACCTAACATGTACCAATAAACTTAATGAATAATAGAAAAGGAAGACAGACAAAAGAAACAATAAAATAAGGACTAGGTTGACTTCATCTATAGGTCCAAATGCTTCTAGAGGAACTTGTTAGCATCCCAAGCTAACAAGTTTAAAATCAATTCATCCTTTTACTTATGGAAATAGTTCACTAGTAAAGAACAAAAAGAATACTGTAAAGGCATTCAGAGTGTAGGTGCTCAATAGACTGCAGTATCTGCTATAAGTAAGAAGGAGAGGGAAGAAAATACTTTTTTTTTCAAAAATTCATGTAATGGATATCAAATGGCATCCTCCAAAGAAGTCATAAGGATATGGGCTCCATCTTCAGAAGAACAAGTCATTGCAGGATCCGCTGGACGGGTCCTTTTCTAGCCTTCCTCTCTCATCTTTCCTAATTCTGTTTCTCAGCCAACAGTGGAAAACTCTACGTGGTTCTCTGAATGATGTCTTATTTCATGAAGCTCCTTTAGCCCCTAATCCTTCCCTCTTCTCTCAACCCCATAACCCAACTTGGCCTTGTCTTTCAGGTCCCCATGCAGTCATTTCCTTTACAGAAAGCAAACACTGCTGTAAAAACTTAATTTTTACAAAATATATAGCTATAACTGAAATACCCAACTCATGTTAGAATTTACCATTCCTATGATAAGAAAAATGTCTTAGAGTCTAATGAAAACCCTTGGCAATTTGAATATTATATGATACTAAATTATAGTATAATTATTTTAAAGGTCAAGAATCTTACATATTTAGTTTTAAAACTCTCCACCTGGGTGATGCAATCAGAAAATTTAAGTGTGTATGAAAATATTTAATTATACAAAAGAAGCAGAAATCTACTAATTTAATAACCTTTAAGTAAAATGTGCAGTATTTTCCCACATGAATATTTTTCTCTCTACTGCAAAAAGAGAACTTTTGAAAAGTTCATATTCATATTCATATTCATATTTCAGGGAATATGAGCATATATTTTATTTTCCAGTGCTTGTTTAAAAAAGAGTAGGATATAGTGGCTTAGAATAAAACATTATATCACTTACTAACTCATGGGAAATTCTGTGAAGCCACTGAGCTGGGTGCTGCTATAAATTAAAAAGAAAACAAAAAAGTCTCAGACCCAGTTCAGAATTCTCAGGAATTCAAAATTTAGTAGGGAACAAAAACAAAACACAGCACACAGGTGTGAGCTGTTATTAAACTGTTCACAGAAAGAGCTTGAAGAAAGCAAATGTGTACTAAGACAAGCCCGCCTGGTCTACAGTGAATCATAGTTAACATCTGATGGGATATTGGAATGGACAGTAAATTACCTTTTGCTTAGAGGAAACTCTGTTATAGTTCAGTTCACTATCACTGGAAGAATTAAATGAGTCCACATGACTGAAGTAGACAGAATAGTTTCTGATAGACCCAAGGCCCCTGGAGCCCATGCAGGTTAAAAACAGTCTAAGGGACTCTAAGGGAGGATGTGCCCATTTGCACTCAGGCCAAATGAATGAGTGAAAGAAACATTCAAATATCTCACTAAGCCCCAGACTCAGTTATATACCTGGTTCAATCCTCACCTGGAAACAAAAAATGGGCCCATAATTTAACAATGTTTTTCACATTTGGTCACCAAAGGCCCTTAGTGCTCTTAATGAATCCCTATAAAATAATTAAATACGTAATTCCATCATCCAAACTAGGAAGATGTTCTTCAAGTTGCCAATCACAAGCACCATGCAACCAACAGTCAAAGTGTACATAACTAGCTGTTTTGTTTTTTTTTTAAGACAGGATCTCACTGTGCAGTTCAGGCTGACCTGTGTAGCCCAGACTGGCCTCGAACTCACAGCAATCCTCCTGCCTCAGTCTCCCAAGTGCTGGGATTACAGCCGTGTGCCACCATGTCCAACAGTTAGCTGCTTTTGGGGTTTCCAAAACCGTATGATTTTATGATTTGTTTGTTCCTTTGCCATGAGGAGAGTAGGTACAGAGGATGAAGACTTTAAACAACCGTGAAAAAGAAAAACATAAAACTGAGAAAAGTCTACCCATTAAATGCTCCCATTGTTACTGCTTTTTTAAAAAGGAATTTCTATCCATTTTTATTCCCATAACAAATCAAGCCTGTTCAAGATCTACTGTTCCGACATTGAACTCTCCTAAAATCAAGCACTATTTCAGTCCACCAAAACCCTTCCTGCCATTGTCTTGGAAGGCTCAGTATGTTTCAGAGCTCCTACAACATGGGCTGGATATTCTATACAGCAAAAGACTTGCCTTGAGAGGGAAGCAACCTTGCTATAAAAAAAGAATCGTACAATCTCCAAGTCAAACTTAACTTTCAAAGCTATCTAATCAAAACCCTAAATTTTATAGCAGGCCTAGATCAAAATCCCTGGGCTAGCTGATATTTTCCTTTTAATTTGTCATCTATTAGTTCAGTGAATTTGCTTCTTTATTTGTTGGTTTATTTGGGTTTTTGTGGAGGGGAGGGGGTTCCCCAGTACATTGCCAGAGAATAAACTTAACTTCAAAACTGAAAATGAGAAGAAATAACAAAATACTAAGGCACAGATTAAATAGTGGCAAATATCATGAAGGCATCCACTGAGAAAGCATGAACTAGAACAAGGAAATTTTTAATCTAGATTCAAATAGTCACAAAAGAAGCCCCAAATTGGCTAAATCCTGTGGCCTAACAGAGAAGGTACGGATAGGACTCGATACAATATAATTAGATCCTTTCATTTCTCTTTCATACTTTTCATGTTTGCAACTGAATCTTGAAATGTTATTTTGTTGTAAGAACGGATCACAAGGTCTCCATTTATGGATATCTTTGTGGCCAGTCATAATTAGGAATGAGAATGAGAGAAGACGAGGAAAGGATAGGAGACTAAGAATAGGTAAAAAGGGGAAGAAAAGACAAAGAGTGAACCATATTTAATTGTATAGTGTTGATTTTCCATCCACTTCATATGTTACTTATGAAGCTGCATTCTTACATTAGAAATAAATTCAGACATGATATTAAAACCAAGCAATAATGAAAAATTCCATTTGTTATTTCAAATCAGACTGATATGCAAATGTAACTGTGCTTTAATACTAAAATAAGTAAATATCAAATGGAAAATGGAGGTGAGGGGCATTATAAGTAAATTCGAATGTATAAAACAAGTAGATTTCAATTGTATTCAATCATTTCACCCAATCACCTAGAAGTGAAGATCCTCTAAAGAAAACTGCACTGCCTTCTCAACTGCTTGGAGAGCCGGTTTAGTTAACAGCCCGCCTATACTTCAGAGATGACCATGCAGCTTACAAGTCAAACTCATTTTAAAATGTCAGTCATGTCCCTTTCAATATAATTAGTTTGGAAAGTAGTGTCACTGACCTAGAACTATGCAGACCATTTATTATCATATCATTTGATCAACCTAACACTTTGCCTCAGTTGAGTTTAAGACACCTCTAGCCAAAATGTAATATCTTTTCTCCCACTCCTTACTGGTAAAGCTCAATACAATTTCCTATTTACAACTTAAGTTATCTCTATGAAGAGGCATGGCCAACTACACAGAGGCACCCCACAGATATTCCTTTATTTAAGATTCCCTGACAATTAAAATGGAAAAGTAAAGGGAATAAGATTATATATATTTTTTCAAGGTTTTACATTCCCAAGAACTGGTAATGGGGAAGGTGGGAGAGCAAAGGACATGTTGAGAAAAATGTGGAACCTTGACTATGAGAGGAAGTTTTTTTCTTTAATATGATACAATGAACCTTATAAAAAAGAATCTGAAGGTTAACCACCACCATACAGTTTTGTTTTATAATGAAGAAAACCTTTTCTCAGGTTCACAAGACTTAACTAGACTTTATCCTGGCCGAGGTTAGGATGAGAGAGAAGCAAAGAGGTAATAACTGGCTTCTCAGAGATCAGAGGCCACACTCAAATGTCTCCAAGGAGGACAGAAGAACACAGAGAGCTTAGAAGGGGGCAGGAGTGGATGTGGGCATGGCAGGAGCAGAGGCAGCACAGGTTAGAGGACAAAGGTCAGCAAGAGAGCTTTGCATATATAAGAAATGATCTTCAAGACACAACTACAAGCAAGTCATCCTGTCTGCAGTACTGAATAACATGCTTCACTGAGGGGGGAAAAAAGTCCATGCACTCATGTATGCCACCAAAATGTTGTGTGCATATTTGAAAATGTGGCATTGAAAAGGTATAGCAGTTATATTTAAAGTAGTGATTACTCACTCTGGAAGACAATAATCTAAAAGCAGAGTGTCAGCTTCCAAATCTTTCTTTTCTATCTTGTACTTACCTTTGGGGAAGTTAAGAGGGATTTTACCAAAATTTGTGTTTGTCTGTTTGCTGGATGAAATTATTACCAGTGCATATGATTTTCTATCAGGTCAAATAAAATATGCATATATCTCACACTTACCTTCAGGTGAAGAGCCTGTCTTTTGGGAAAAGGCAGCATTTACTTTGGTCTTCTTACTGACATCATTATTTACAGATAAGCTGGATTGAATTTTTCTATGCATTTTTTGAGAAACAGGAGCTGAAAGTTTGTGATTATCTGCACAGGCATGTTTGGCCCCGTGGTGAATTCCATTGCCATTGCTCAGACTTGCTTGCCCTTCTTTCTTTATCTTGCCTATTTCCTCTTCACCGAGTTCCTGTGCTGAAGTCTGCAGCAGAGGCAAGCGCTGAGGTTGGGCTACAGGAAAAACAGGAAAAGTTCATCCAGTTAAAAAATGATAATGAATTGCTATTTTATAATAATGAAATGCATTCAGTATCTGAGATTTAAGATTTTACTCATGACACTAAAACTGAAGAGGAAAAGAAGAGAAAAAGGGAGGCAGGAAGAGAGGAAACAAAGTCATTAGAAAGAAAAATAGGAAGAGGATTATTAAAAGACACTTTATACAAAGATACAAAAAGTAGAGTAGAAAAACTGTATTTTTTGGTTTTTTTAAAGGATAGTTGAATTAGAAATTTGAAGAATAATTCCACACATTCAGTAAAAGTTGATTTTTTTCTAAACTCTGAGACCTTTTTTGGGTGCTGTGGACTCACCAATATTATTCTAATACTCCTAATAATGATATTGATAATTCTTTTGAAGTGAAAAGAACAGCTAATTCAGCTAAGGAGTCAAAGCTGGGCACTACAAAAATTTTAAAAAGCTGGGCACTGAAGAAGGCAATAAAGAGGAATATGGTATTCTTTTTTATAAGGCTGCAGAAGAAAATCTTTTCTATATTTATTCTTTAGATTTTAAAATAAATGAATTATGAAAAGTTAGAAAAATAAGAGAGGGCTTTAATTCTGATGCAACATAGCTATCAAAACTAAACATCTTTTCGAGTGCTCTTTTTTGGGTCACAGCCAACTAAAAGATGCGCACCTTCACTTCTCTTGTGCAACATTACACGGGAAGTCCTGGCAAAAGCAATAAGGAAAGGAAATAAAAAATAGATCTAAATTCTGGAAAGGAAAAAGCAAAAGTGTTGAGCTGTGCACAGATCTGAATATTTTGAGATAGTCTAAGAGATTATAAATTCTCAAAAATTAAGAATTTATCAAGATTTATACAGGATCAACCATGGAAAAAAATCAGTAATATTCCAAAATGCCAATAGATATCAACAAATACATAAGAAAAATGTATTTCACCTAGCAAAAGAAGACAGAAAGACAGAAACAAAGAGAAAAAAGAAAGTAAGAAGGAAGGAAGGAAGGAAGGCAGAAAAAAAGAAAGAAAAGAAAGAAAGAAGGAAAAAAATGGCCTCCCCAAAAAAGCAAAAACTCTGGTAAATAGCTGAAATTAAACTAAGTAAAAATTGGTAGATATTTTTATTGCAAAAAGTTACCAAATATTACTAAAAAGCATACAAGAAGCCCAGATGAATGGAGAGTATAAATATATTAATTATATTGATTTTTTTTCAGTTTATTTCATTAATTCCATTCCCGTTAACACTTTCAGTTGGCTTATTTATGGATCATGAAAAGCCAATCTCAAAATAAGGAAGAATAATCAAGAATCACAGAGGAAATTTTAAGGTAGAAAAGGATGGCAATGGATGTATTAGATATGTAGCCTTCTTATGAAACGACACAGTGACTAGAGACACACCCGTCACAGACACAGCCAATGGGCCAGTGGACTCCCAGTGGTGAAGGCGTGTGTCATACATGTACATATAATCTCAGGCAAACTCCAACTCTATTAAATGCCAATATATGAAAAGCAAAACTTTTTAATGTGAAAATATATAGGAGGCTGTTTTAATAGCATGATACTAAGAAAAACCTATCAATTCAATTCTTGGAACAATAAATCCTAAAACAAGCGGGATGAATTTTCATCATTGATATTGCTGAGTATTTCTAAAAACATCAATTTTGGTAAATTCCTGTATCCCATCCTGAGTTCTCTGCAGCTAGGTATATGAACTCAGTCCTCAATAGAAAATTGAAACAAATTTAGTATGATAGCATATTAGATGTTAAGCAGAGTTTGAGTTCAGAGAAGTGACTAGGTGTCAGCCACCCTGGCGGGGGGGTGGGGGTGCAGCTTCTCTGCAGTCAGTGGAAAGGCATTTGTTGGCCTAGGCGGCGGGATTGCCCCTTCTGGTGTCTGCTTCCTAGTAGATCAGTGGCCTAACGTGACCAGTGGTGTTTTCCTTAAAGAACCCCTACTGAACGAATAGGTATAATCCTTGGCTCTGCGTCTCTGAGAGAACATGTACTGCTAATAAATATATTTTCTATACAAGTTAGCAACGATGGATTCTGGCTTTTGCGGCTAAAATCCCTGACACACTCCCCCCCATAAAACTTATCTGTTTACATTGGCTAAGTAATGAAATTATTTCACTGGGTAGGTCTTAAGTAAAGCTAAATCACAGCTTTTCAACAAAAACAGCACAAAGTATCCAGTGTGATCATTTTACTATTTCTCAATTTCTTGGAATTTCAAAATCTTAAGCTGCTCTTTTAGTCTGTTCATGTTTATGAACAGTTATGAAATGTAAATTATATGACTACTACAAACTCTTTGACTTGGAAACTAAATACTGCATGAAAAGCTATCCAATAGAAAAAGTACTGCATGCAAAGCTTTTGCAGTATATATGATCCTTTCTAAAAATAAAATTTATTTTATTTTATCCCCTTCCCCCCCTCACTTCTTCCTTTCTCCCCTTCCTATGTACAAGAGCTTTGTTTCCATTTTTTCCTTCTATTTTCACTCTTTTCATTGTTGCTTTCTTCCTTTCTCCTTCTCTCCTCCCTTGTTCCCCTTCCCATTTCCCAACATCCATTATACATCTCAGCCTTTATTTCCACATTCAGTTTCTGACACCAGAGAAACAATGTGGTATTTAAACATATGTGTCCAATTAACTTGAAGGTCCACCCATTTAGCTACAAATGTCCAAGCTCATCCTTCTTTATGGCAAAGTAGTACTCCATTGCATAAAAAACCCACTTCTTTATCCATTCATCCATCAGTTGATGGGCATTTGGGCTGTTTCCAACATTTGGCTATTACAAACTGTGCTGCTATAAATATGGGTGTGCACATATTGTTGTGATATGATGTTTTTAATTCTTTCAGGAAGATACCTAAAAGATGTATAGCTAGGACAAAAGGAACCTCTAGTTTTAGTTATTTGAGATATCTCCACACCAATTTCCACCATGGTTGCACCAGTCTACACTCCCAACAGCAGTGGAGAAAGGTTTCTTTTTTCCCACAGCACCTCCAGCATTTGTTATTGGTTGATTTCTTGATAGCAGCCATTCTTTCTGGAGTGATATGATGCTGAGAAATTTCCAAAGAGGACTGATTATTATAATCTGGGGACTAGTTAAGGCTTGGTAATATTTTTGAGAAAAAGTATATATTTGAGAAAATATTTAGTACAGCATTGTTTACTTTTGTTTCACTTTATGTATCATGAAGAAAAACAACATATCAAAACATTCTATTCATAAGTGTGCATACTTCAATAAAAAGAAGATTCATTTTTTTAAAAAAATGTCCTTTCATACTAAGTCCATTAACATTAGTATCTGATTTTTAAAACTAATATATGAAATGATCTTATAGTTTTTCAATTTTACATTAAAAAGAGAAAGATTATCTAAAAAGAAATTATTTGAGAAGCCCAACATAATGGTAATAAAATGTAGCAGGGTTCTTTTCTCTTAAGTTTCAATGAAAAGGAAACAAGAGAATAGGTTATTTCTTTGTTTACCAAATATATATGTCACCCTTCTCATGACCAAAATCTACAATTAAGGCATCTAAAAATGGAGATTTATTTATGAGTGTGCAATGGTTTGATTTAGAGATTAATTTGCTGCTCTCCTAACTTCTTGTATCAGCTAGGGTGACACCCTAATGACTGCTATTGAGCCCAAAGCTAGTTATGCATATGCGTTTAAAAGAAGGCCAAAGAATACAGCTAGACCTAACACTGTGTGGTGTTCTTTTCAGAGCACTTTCCAGTGATTTCTCCAAACATATGCAATGTTTTAGGTCACTTTTTCTCTAAAAATAACAGTATAAGCAATCAGGGAGCTTGGGAAAGTCAAAATATCGTTGACTAGTGTCTGGGATACTCTTTATCAATCAAAATTGTCCCATCGTATTCCACAGTTTAAGATAAATGTACAATACTATTTAATAGTTCAACATTCTCAATAAATAAAAGCAAAATTTTAAAAGACAACAGTGTCCTGCCACCAAATTCTAAAATTGACAGACCTGACCTTTTCCTAAGCTCAAAATCGACTCTGTAAATTACTGGGTATGGCTGGAGTAATAGCATAAATTATCCTTAATGATTTATCTACATTTCAGTCCTCAAAATCATATCTATTTCTGTTGCCAGAAACATGAGAGCACATTTTTTTGTATCAGTACCACTTAATTATTTTTATTGTGGTTTGTATTATGGTCAGGTAACCAAGTATTATCTCTTCATTCAATGTTTTAGCATGAAAACAATTTTTAGTTGATTTTGTCAGATGTGTGTGAAAAGTCCAATCAAAGCTAGATAAACCCTAGATATAATAGCTACATCAGCAAATATGAAATTTAACTTTGTTGATCGATTTTAGTGGATATGATTTCAATCTTAAGGTAAAATTACAATTAAAACTAAGTAGGAAACATGATTTTATTTTTGAATAAAGAACAAAAATGCCTGGCTGACTAAACCACAAGTATTTGGTGTTAAACAGATTCTTTTCCTTATTGTGTAGAAGTTGTGTATGGCTTTAAATAAAAAAAAAAGCACGCTGATATGAAAACGACACAATGCTTCTTAAAACACAAGTGATGTCTAGGGACCCTCACTCTCTCTTTAATGATCTGCTGCTCTCATTCAGCTGTCTTTCTTTTTTCAAATCTTTACATATGTGACAGCTCTCAAAAGTAGACCATAGACCATCTGGCATTTCCAGAGGTGTAACTTGTGCAAATTCAGCTCTATTGGGAGTGCACTCCTATCTTCTGCCTGTGTTAGAGAGGGACAATAGAATGTAGAACTTATGAGATGTTTTGAATTATTCATTTTTTTGCCTGTATATTCAAGAAATTTTACAAACTCTGCATTTTGTACTACATAATCACATGCGTTAAAGGTACAAAGAAACTTTTTGACACCTCTTTTCTACAGAAAGCTGGCATTTTGTTTG